GCTTGAAGGTTGGGGACTGAAAGAAGAAAACATGACCTGCATGACGACAGATAGCGGGGCCAATATGGTTAAAGCGTTGGAGCTTAACAGCTGGACTCGTCTGCAATGCTTTGGGCACAGACTTCACCTAGCTATCGGTGAGTGCAACTAAAAATACATTGTCTCTGTAATTAAAAATTACATTGAACATTTACCATGAACAGTAAAATTAGGAGATTTGTTTGCAATAATATTTGCAGTATATGTAATTATTTTGTTTTACTTTTTGTTACATTGTTAACGTTTTAGTTAAACACCTAAATGGCTTCAATAAAAAATATAAATATTTGTAAATTAAACTTTACATTGTGTATTAGATTAAATCTCATATAATACTTAATTCTTTTTAATTAGAAAAAAGTGCCAAAGGCCCTCGTGTTGAACGTATAACATCTGTCTGCAAGAAAGTCGTCAGTACATTCTCGTTCAGCTGGAAGAAAAAGAGGGATTTAAGTAAAGCTCAAACTGACCTAAAGCTACCTCAGCAGAAGCTCGTCACTGAGTCTCCAACACGATGGGGTTCGAGACTCAACATGATCGAAAGAGTACTTGACCAGGAAAAGGCGATTTCTCAGGTCCTGAAGGCAGACAGGAAGATGAGGCATTTAGTCCCATCATGGCAGGATGTTGACGTAATGGAGTCTGTGAAAAAGGCTCTGAGCCCACTGAGAGACTTTACTGATGCACTCTCAGGTGAAGACTATGTGAGTGTATCTTATGTAAGCCAGTGCTTCACCTGTTGAAAGTCAACATTTTGAGCCTGAATGATGAGGATACTGAACTAACAAAAACAATGAAGACTAACTACCATTCTGGAATACCTCACTGACAAATATCAGGACCCCGCCACCAATGACGTGCTGGATATGGCTTCACTTGTCGATCCCAGGTTCAAAATGCAGTACACAGACAAAGACAACATTGAGGGAATACAAAGCAGAGCTGTGTCTGAGCTGGAGAATTTGCTGAATCCAGCATCATCAAATCAGCAGCCTACCTCAACCTCCACATCACACAGCCCTGATGAAGATCAGACACCACCCAAGAAAGCAAAGAGATCACTTGCCAGCTTTTTGAAAGCCTCAGCTGTTGTAAGTGCATCTGCAGCAGCCACATCATCAGCTTCCCCATCTCTAAAAGAAGCAATAGAAGGGGAACTGAAGGGCTACTTGTCCACACCAAATGCAGAAAGTGATATGGATCCATTGCAATGGTGGAAAGTCCATGAGGCAAACTTTCCAAGAGTTAGCCAACTTGCTAGAAAGTATTTATGCATTCCAGCAACAAGTGCTCCCTCAGAAAGAGCCTTCAGTACTGGTGGCAACATTGTCACCTGTCAAAGGGCAACTCTCAAGCCAGAGAAAGTCAATCACCTGGTTTTCCTTGCTAAAAATTTGTGACTGATTAGTTAAGCTGCTAAGTTTACAAGCCTCAGGTCAGGAAATATTTTTGTAGCTTTGTTTTATTGTTTTGGGTCTGAAATGTTTAAAAAAATCCTTAACAGTTGAACAAAGGGCACTTACATGTTGGATGTTTGCTTTGATTTTTACCTTTTGAAGCAAATGTTTATTTTGGGAATTATGCTAAATTCTATGAACCCGCATTTGTTTCACTAGACCAAGGTAATATTTTTATTTAACTTTGTAACAAGCTATTTACATTTTTCAAGCACTTTGCTGAGGATCTTTGTATAATACACGGACTGTTAACTCTTAGCACTATTAATGTAAAATTTGTTAAACCATCATATTGTGATGATGGCAAGCCTTTCATTGTTATGTAAGTCTAGTTGAATATTCTTAATTTGCAGAGTTGCACTTGCATGTAATGCTACTTTGATTAATAAATACTTGACAACATAAATGGCAAAAGCTATATTATTATGGAGACATTAATTTGACAGTCAAATTTTGGCTGTATTGTAGCTTTGTAATTTGAAAATACAAATAATTTTAAAATCAACGAAACTATATCGTGATAATATCATGTATCGTAATATTTCTAGAAAATATCGTGATACATTTTTTTCCCATATCGCCCACCCCTAATATATATATATTAGCCCCCCTCACCCCCACCCCCTTGGGGCGGTCTTGTATTCCTTCCTTCAAGCTTGGGTCCTCTACCAGAGGGCTTGGAGCTTGAGGGTCCTGCACAGTATCTTAGCTGTTCCTAGCACTGCACTCTTCTGGACAGAGATTTCAGATGTTGTCCCTGGGATCTGTTGGAGCCACTCTCCCAGTTTGGGGGTCACAGCCCCCAATGTTCCTATTACCACGG